CAAAATCTGTGAAAAAAGCTCACTTTTGTGCTTTTTTCCTTTTTTCATAAAAAAAAACACTCACAAATATGTTTGTTATTAAAAACGTCAATTGAAAATCTTACAAGGAACAGATCAAGAAAATCTATGATATATGATTCGATGCGTCTTCATCTCTTCTTTCCAACAGTAAAAATCTTCAGTGCCAACAAAATCTCTATCTTGCTTCTATCAAAAGTTATTCAAAAAATACTCACTCGTATTTTTTCAAAATTAGTATGAATTCCACCGGCACATAACCAGGTTTTAAAGATAATTTAATATTATGATATTAGTTGAAGTACGATCAAATAGCATAGAAAGACAGGAGTTTTTTTTTTCTCTATCAGATTATATAGACAAAAGTTATTTTAAGCCTACTATACGGTATTAAAGTGTCACTGCCCGTACTTTTGGTATGCCCTAAGTAATATCATGCTTTATATTTAAAAAATCAAGATACATAAATCGTTTATCTTTATTTTTTAAATATAAATGATTCATTTATATTTATCCATTATTATAAATGAATAATAAAACTAAATTAACACCTCTATTCTAGAGTTTGTCTTTCTCTATAAAATTGATTGTAGATATGTACCTTTTTATCACTAGTAGTTTCATAACTCAGCCTTTCAGATGAGACGAGACAATACCGTAGGATAAGAATAAAAGTATACGTCATTTTAGTGAAAAATGTCTAGTAAAGGCTTAGCATGATTCTGAGCTGAAGCAAATGCTATCCAAGTCGGTCATGAGGCAGTGTTTGAAATTATTGAAGAATCTGATCGGCTAAGGTTTTTTCACTTTCTGATCACCTGCTATCAATCTTAGAAGACATTAGTTGAAGACAAATTGTTTCTAACCCTATAGAAGATTATCGATGCTGGGAGACATAGTTGAATATAAGTCTTGAATTTAATAAGAATGAAGTATCAGTCAGTTAAGAGAAAACAGTTATAAATTTATAGTGCTTTAGAACACGTGTACAACTGAATCAAATGAAAATGATTGTTATGTAAAAGATAATGATAGTGGAAATGATAATGGTAATATAGTTACTCCATGGAAAGTTAACAGAATATCTAGATTAGGTGTTGATTATGATAAAGTTATTGGTAAGAAATGAGTGTTGTTTTGCTTAAATAATTATGAAGCAATTTTCTTTTGCGTTTGTCTTATTCTATTCATAGCAAAATTCGGTTCAACAAGATTAAGTCATGATTTAATAAAAAAGATTGAAACAACAATTCAGCAACCTGTTCATTATTTTATTCGCCGTGGTATTTTTTTCTCACATAGGTTTGTTATAGAACGAGAACATACTTAGTAAATCAGTTGCTAAAAAATTTTTATTATTGTTTTCTTTCAGAGATCTTGAACAAATTTTAACGGCTTATGAACAAAACAAACCATTTTATCTTTATACTGGTCGTGGTCCACCATCTGAAGCAATGCATCTTGGACATTTAGTACCATTTATTATGACAAAGTTAGTATACATTTAGCATACTACTCACTTCGACTGTGTTATACAATCTTTCTATTTTTCTTTGTTCCGCTACATGCTTACGAGGGAGCGTTTTTCGGTGAACTCTTCCGATTTCGTTCGTTCATACGTCATTCGATAGAGGGTTGGGAGCAGATAAAAGCCTAAATGGATATGGATCCATGACTCTTTCTTCAAAAGTTACAGCCATTTTTTTGGTTTTCCCAGCGAAAACTAGCAAAAATAGACAAATTCAGAACTCCGCCTAGAAAGGTCGTAGCAAACTGAAATGTTTTTTGATGGTCACTCTAAATAGGTCTGCTAGATACCCTGAAAATTTCAGCTTTGCATCTCTCTTCCTTTATGAGTTACGCAAAGTTTTCGGCG